CCCCAAAACCCCAAAACCCCAAAACCCCAAAACCCCTATTATTAGTGGGAAAGTTGAACTGTTATTTTATTTTAGGTACCTGCGAAGCATCTCATTGTTGGGTCTATCTTTCTCGAAGAACTGTGAGTAATATTCTACATTTATGTCCAATGGGAAAATTAGTTCAAAGTTCCCTGTTCTTGTGCTTTGCTCAATAAACTCGTTCAGCACTTCCTGGCCGCCTCCAGCTCCAGAGTGCATTGACGCCGACTTGCTCTCGTAGTAAGCTGACCCTTTTGCAAACCCATTTACTCTGTTCTTAGAGGCCAGCTTTTCTTGGTTCTGCTTGAACTTTTGCTTGTTGTACGGTTTCACACCGACGAGAGTCAGGGTGTCTCAGATGAGTCTTGTTTTAAGCTTCTTGTCAAATAAGGACGAGGAACTTAAGCTGGGACTGACATTTACTTCAAGAATCCATGGTTTGAGTTTGCTGTCAAGGATAACGTCGAACCCATAGAGTTCGAATCATCAATTCTTATTCCTCGTGTACATATTCTGTTGATGGACTATGTGAGGCTCAACTGACATCAATGTTTTTATTAATACATCTTTTATTTCAGAATCAACCTCAAGACAATCATGGCCTTTTTCTGTAAAGTAGTTCATGAGCTGCTTATAGCTCCATTTCGATAGCATTTTCTCCTCACCATCATTTTCTTCACCTTCTTTGCCACAATTATTATTTATAATTCTCTGCTTTCTTGTTAACGCTATAGTTTGTGAGGTGGCTGAATCTCTTGAACGATTTAGAATTTAGAGAGTACTTTTCAGATCAGAATCTAACCAGTCCATCCTTGTACATGTACACTACAAGAGGGTCATAGGAGGTGACTAGGACATAGATTCTCATGTCATACTTAAATCCCTTAATCAAGTGGGGCCTGGATATATATTTACTTATCAAATAACCCTTTTTATTTTTGGGGAGTCCCATTTGAGCATTCAGAATTTTTATTCCATTAGCACAGCTTGAAGCTACTGGTTTCATGATGTATAAAGCCTTTTTGTTCTCTTTAGCCTTGGCATCGATAATAAATCTCCTGTAATCATGAGGGAAGATGTAGGTCTTCGGACAAATGTTGTATTCACTTCCGAACTTTCGCTTCTGCTTTGATATATTCTTCCACATCAGATCTTTTCTTCCTAACTGATACCCAGCTGGGAAATGGTTCATCCGTTGGAACTTATTCATTGTTCTGAGGATTTCAGTTTTATTTGAAGATGTCCATAATAAATTCCAGTCCTTTCCAACATCAGTGAGATAAAATCCTGCATTCTTGCATGAGTTTACCACAGAGTTATAAATGTGGGTGCTCTCTGCTATCTTCAGGACTAGTTTGCACTTTTTCATGTCTTTCTGGCTGTATTCAACTAATTCTCCATTGTATTCTTTGTCTTCACCCACATATTTGGGGTAACTGAAGAAGATATTTTCGCTTCCACCTTCAATAGGTGATTTGATGATTGAGATAGTATTGTTGGTAGGCTTCCTCACACTTCCAGGAATCTTTTTGTTCCTTCTGGCATGCCTGCTCATTGAAGGGATACTATCACTTCGTTTGGATGATTCAGCCTTATTGATTTTTCCTCTCCGATTTGGATGAGCCGATGAAATATTGTCTTTTCGCAGACCTCTAGCAAATTCAGGTGCTTTTGTTTCTTCATTAGTCTCAAGTTCACTATCAGAGTAATCAGAGGAGACAGGTCCACTTTCCTGTGATTCTTCATCTGATCACTCTTCGACTTTGTAGCTGTTTAAGAAAGAGCCTTCTCTTTTGCCTTTCATTGATTTTCCTCTGATATTTTTGATAGCCTTTGTCTTCTTGAAGTTAGGGATTGCTCCAGAAGGTCCTCTTTTATCGCTAATAGGAGCGTATCCTGATGAGGTCTGTACCAATTGTGTTTAGACAATAATTTATTTAAACAATGGTTTTCTAGTTAAAACTTACCTTAGATTTTGTTGAAACAGAGGTGCTTATCCTCTTCTCGAGCTGATACTTTTGAATCATATTACCCGTTTTCCTATCATTGATGTAGTCACGGGTCTTATCAGACCTAATTTTTGCTCCATTGCCGCGTAAAGAATCTGAGTTAGCGCTGAAACCTTTATGGTTTAAATTTGGCTGTCTGAAGGATTCATGCTTGTAGTTCCCCATACTTGGAACTGGGGACCTGTGTGCTTTTCCATCTTGTTTTAAGCCATCAATGGCTGCTTTCTTAACGGAATTCACTTTATGGGATTTCTTATTTACCGATTGCCGATAATCCATTTCAATATTGCTTACTCCTTTACTTAGTGCTAGTATTAGGATCTCTTTCTGGTGAGGAAGCTGTCTTTTGAAGCATTAAGGGCCTTGGCTGGGCAATTCTTCCTCTATTTTTAGGTAAGGAGATCCCTCTCTTAGCTCTATTGTCGCTTGAGTCTGTTAAGTTGTTGTACATAATTATTTTATATAAGTTTATTCTATAGATTTGAATTCAAAGTAATGTGTCTGACTTGGGGTTTTGGGGTTTTGGGGTTTTGGGGTTTTGGGGTTTTGGGGTTTTGGGG